CGCCGCCGCCTACGGGCCGCAGCCCTGCCGCGGCCGCGTCTGCGTCTGCGCCGCCTACAGGCCCCCGCCGCGGCAGCCCTACCGCCGCCAGCCCGCCCCCGCCCCGGCCCCGCGCCCGCCCAATGCGCCCGCGCCGCCGCAGCGCGGCCCGCGGGGCCAGGAGGAGCTCGAGGAGGCGATCTACGACTTCATGCGCCGCTCCGACAAGCCCGGCGCCTTCCCCACCCGCGCCGAGCTCCTCGCCGCGGGGCGCGCCGACCTCGCCGCCGCCGTCGAGTCCAGCGGAGGCTGGCTCTCCCTCGGATGGTCCTGGTCCTCCGACGACGACGCGCGGCGGCCGGCTGCGTCAACGGCCGGCCCCGGCGTGCACCCTGAATACCCGCCCGAGGCGGGTCCTTCTGGCCGACCGCCAAACTCGGCCGCGGATTCCGTAAGGTGGGTAACCGAGCCGCTCTGTAATGTAATGTGTCCCCCTCTGTTGATTGCTCTGCGACGACTTGCTGAATTCCGAGTGTTGCAGGGAGCAGCAGGAACCGGCGCCGTCTGGGAGGCAGCCGGAGACGGAGGAGACAGAGTGGGTGCCTGCTAAATCTCTTTTGAGTTATTTTGATTGATATATGCTGGTTCCTTATTGATTTTGCTTGTTGCTACGTAATCGATTGCAGGGAGGCAGGGTCTGGGGCAGGCCTGGAGGGAATGCTCGCCAGGCTGCGGAGAGAGAGGGAGCGTGCGCGGCCACCGCCACGCAGCAAGAATCAAGCGGGAGGGCGAGGTCAAAATGGCGGTATGTGCAGCTTCGACTCTTGGCGTTCTATCGAAACATGTGTTGTTTTCAGTTGTGCAACATGAGCATCTTCTTTGCAAACAGTTATATGTTTGTTGATAAGGGAACACCAACTTTTGCAACCAATGAAACTTTGCATAGTATACAGCTCATTGTGCCATATTGTTTAGTTACAGCCCGTGGAAGGCTTAATGCTCTGCTGGATAAAATTAATGCTAAGCTCATGCCGGGCAGGAAGGAAGTGCCGCCGACAATAGTTCATGCAAAAGCTGTCTGTTCTCACGGACCGGACTTCCCTTTCCCCCGACATATATAACTAGCAGTGCAGTAGTTTAGCGCTTTCCATTTAAAGTTGCAAAGGGGACAAACATACCGTTTTTTGTTCTATGTCGCTTTCTAAAAATAGAAGCGTGGCGTTAGAACTTTCTTTCTCATGATCCGACATATTTTTTGTCGTCGTGCTACTGCTTAATGTAAAGTTGTTTGCACCTTGACAGCACTGCAATTATTTGAGTAATCGTGAATCTACAGAAGACTACCACATTATTTTGTTTGTGCCTTTTAATCATAGTAGTAATATGTTCTGTTACATACAACTGGTTTAGCTTTGTTATTACTCTGCCCATTTCAGCATTTGGTCCTTCCAAGCTAATGGCTTTTTTGTGTTAAATCTCTTACAATACACGGAGGATAATTCATTTTCTATTTCAAATATGCTGCTGTTAATAGTTGCCCCCTAACACCTAAATGAATTGAAGGGTCCATGCTCCCTAGATATACATGGTTGATTGAAGTTAGTAGACTCTGCGTTTTGCAAATATATTTACTAATTAATGACCGCTTTAAGATTGACCATGTGTTTAGGTATTTTACTGATTTAGTGCACACGGATCATTTTCTCGGTACTCTATTAGTATCAACAGTAAAAAGTACACATTGTAAACTTTTGGCTGGAGACTCGGAGAGGAAAATTGAAAGAGTTCCACCTTATATAATAGAAAATAGCGTTGGTTTGTTATTGATGGACAACTAATGGATATTTTTTGTTAGAGAGCTTCTGGATAATTATGTATGTGAACCTTTATTCTGATGTACCATATACTTAATTTCTAGCTGGTGTTTCTTCATTTGTATATTAATGATCATACTTCTGTGTTACATACATGCAGCTTTAATGAACCATAATGGAGCTCCTAGTCGAAGTCCAACTAATGGCATGTACACTCGAAGGATACCTGTGAATGGAAATATACACCGCTCTCATTCTCAAAATGGAATACCAGAGGACAACAAATCAAGTAGTTCGGCCAATGATGCATGGCGAACATGGTCTCTTGACAAGAGTCGGTTTTCTGATTTTGAAGGTTATATGATAACTTAACTTTCTTTCGTTGCGCATCATATCTGTTATGATTATTTCATAACATGTTTAATATGCTGACAGCCGCTGAGATCCATCCTTTGAGCAGAAAACCACCAAAACATGTTGACCTGAACACTGTGTTGATAGAAGATGATGTTCCTGGACCATCTAATGGTGTGGTTATAAATGATTATCCTAGTGATCATGTAGACTCTGAAAGAGATGAGATACATGCACGTTTTCAAAATTTGGAATTCGATCTTGCAGATTCTCTTAAGACATTAAGATCAAGATTTGATGGAGTTTCGTCATATATGGTGTGTCTCGTCTCTCGTATCATCTTCTTTACTTATCTATCTTTTGTTGTGAAATACTGGTGGGATACGTGATCTTGAGATTTTAGTGTGGTTTTGCATTCAGTTTTCTTCACTTATGCATTTGTAAAGTTGTTTATGCATTGTACTAGACATGGCTCTGCTGTTCCTAACAAAACACACCTGAAGATGTGGTTCTGCTTGCTCTAATTTTCTCTTTATGCACTAAACACTGTCTGCATCATACCCTCGCCCATCACTAGAAAAGTGCCATCTTTGGATGCATGCAGTCAAATTTTTTGATTTTGACTAACACTGTAACAGTATCCTCATCAATATGCAGTCTGACAACATGAAAATGGTACAAGTTCATTTGCCAACGGAACAACTTCCATAAATTTTGATTTTATATCTGTAGATATTCACTGTATATCCACTATCTTTTCTTGCAATGTTGTGATTTCGCAACGCAAACAAATGACTATAGCTAATAATATTCCCTTGCAATGCTGATTGCTGAATGTAGTTGTGTTCTCTACGAGGAAGTAGTTAGCTAGTCGCAAAATAAAAAGCACAGGTACGGAGACATGGACACAGCGATACGCCTAGGGGACACGGGATACGGCATTAAACAGCCATTCAGGGATACGGCGAGTATATATGAAAAAAATTAAAACATGCCATGTAATATAGAGTTAAAAAAATGAAGAGAAACTGAGATAAGATCAGAATACTGCCCCATTTCCATTTGTTGTATTGTTTTTCAAGTGCTCAATGATTGAATTAATTGATCCTCTAGACCCATGTCATTGCAACTTGCAAAATACATCAAATGCTAGTATTAGTCTATTAGAGAGTAGAGACTGGAGAAGACATGCAACAAAGGATGCAGGTGTAACTTTCACCCTCACCCATGGACGATTGGCCACCGGTGGTGGCGCTCCCAAACGCCATGCTCCCTAACATCAAGCAACAATCAAAACAGCAGCACCAGGCACCAGCATGCAAGTGAGCAGCAGCTCAAGAGCAAGCAGCAACGGCATGGACGCATGGGGAAGCAAGCAGCAGACTCAACAGCAAGAAATCGAGCAAAGATATGAAGAGGTTGAGAAGAGGCTGCTGGGGTTATCTGCTTGAGCGTGGTTGCCATCGGGCGGTTGAGTCCAGGGGGCGGCGGTGATAGCGCGTTCGACTTGGAGCAGCGTTCCTTTAGTGGCAAGCGTGTGTGCGACCTTGCAAAATAGGGTTTGTATCGGGCCAAGGCTGTTATTGAGCTTCCTGTGTCCCCAACGTATTCCATACGTATCCCAGCTGTGTCTTTGTTTTTTCCTTTCTTTAATTAGGAAATCAGGGGATACTGGGGGACACGCGTATCTTGGCATGTCCGGCCATATCGCCGTGTCGCAACGAATTAGGACGGCAATTCGGCAGTTTCGGCCGTTTCCATGCTTTGTTGGTCGCAATGATTTAGTTTGCAAATTATTACACATTCTTGTTTTTAGAACCATTGTATTACTGGTAGGAAGTTTCTGATTTTCGAGACTTGGCCCACGCTGATATGAAACTAAAACGATAATGGAAGATCTTGATGCATCTCATCTTGATTTTTCTAGAGGCAATATACTTGTTCTGAGCATCCATCTTTGCCCTTCCATTTTCCAGTCAAATGGCGAAGAAGCAGATGTGGTAAATGGGTTCTCTGATGATTGGGAATTTGAAGAGACAAAAGTAATGCATGCCCAGGAAGAATTACGGACAATCCGTGCTAAAATAGCAGTATTAGAAGGCAAGGTGGCGCTAGAAATAATGTATGGTCACTCACAATTGAATGTTGTTCATCTACGCTTTTTATTTTGTATCAATCTCTTTTATGACTTATTCTGTTGATATCAGTGAGAAGAACAAAATAATTGAAGAAAAGCAAACGAGGCTTGATGAAGTTGAGAAGGCTTTGAGTGAGCTCCGCACAGTATCTGTTGTATGGCCCAATCCTGCTTCAGAAGTTCTATTGACCGGTTCTTTTGATGGGTGGACAAGCCAAGTAAGTGCATGTTCCTATTCTCTGCTTAATTAGTAAATATATAAACTTCAGTAACTAACTATAAAATGAGTGGCAGTTCGTGATTTCAATTTCTATCACTCTTTGGTGTTAGTTGTCAGGTGAATTCCATTGATTTATGTATTAAGTTGAATATTAATGAAGAGAGAAGCTGGATCTATTGCTGCTCTCCTAAGTTGTGTAAATGCAATTTACTGCCAACACCTTATCATGTGCACAGTTAATTCATTTCTTAATGAGTGCAAAACAAACACAATACTCCCTCCGGTCCATATTACGGAGGGAGTACTTAATTTGATGTGGTTCACACACAAGTAAAGTAACTTCAGGAACTAGCAACATGATAGTTACGAGAATGGTAGGGATCGAAGGCGCCCAAGTGCTTTGAAAGATGTTTATTACGTATATGTTTCTAGGAGTAAAGCAAGTTTTTAATCTGATTTTGGTTGTTGGTGCTGTTTTTGGCATAGGCACAATTGTGACAACACGTGTCCATAACTTTTGTGTTAGAAATACTACGTGCTATTTGGATTTGGAAGTTTAGAAACATTGTTTTATATGCCAAAAGAAAAAGGAAAAGCACATGGAATCTTCATATATTTGTTAATACTCCTTCCGTTCCTTTTTATGGCTTGTATTGGTTTGTTGGAAAGTCAAACTTTTCTCCCTTTGACCAAGTTTATAAAAGAATCAATGTATGCAATACTAAATACATAAAATATGGAAATATTTTTCATGAAGGGTCTGATGATACTGATTTGGCATTGTAGATGTTGATACTTTTTTCTATATAAACTTGGTCAAAGATGGAAAAGGTGGACTTTAAAAAAACATCTTATAAAAAGGAACGGAGGGAGTATGTATTTATCATTTTATATTAAGTGGAAACTGAAGCAGCACAATTTTACAAGAGCTTCACTAGGCAAGACCTAGCAACAAATATACTACCTCTGCAACTTTTTATAAGACATTTTTAGAGTCTATGACAATGTGAAAAATGTCTCATATTAAGTTAGGGAGGGAGTATATCTTTATCTGGTACCTTTAGCTGAGATTTAGTCAGTTCCTAGGAGGATACTGGTCACATGACTGACATATCCAAAAGGATGTTCAGTAGTTCAAGCACATATAGGATAGGTACTAGATGTAGAAGCCTGAAGGACAACATTCTGCCATTATAGATCTTAGTTTCACTTTCATATGTATGGGGGTGCTGTTTAGTTTTATTTTGTATACATGATATTTGCATTTCCATGGAGCACACAACACAATTCAGATCAGCCAGCAGAAGAATGTTAGTAGTACAAATCAAATTTGGTTCTAGAGTAAGAAATATTACCTGTGTCCCAAATTACTTGTCTTAGATTTGTCTAGATAGGGATGTACCTATCTAGACAAATCTAAGACAAGTAATTCAGGACGGAGGGAGTATGAATTTGTTATGCCATTTCACCTCTCTTGTCGCTCCTTTGATATAACTTTCAAGATATTGAATATTTAAACATCTAATTATATGAATGTCCATGGAATGTTGTCTGCTTTGGGCTGTGTACTGCAGGAAGTCTCTTTGTTACGTACTCCCTCTGTACCGAAATACATGTCGCTGGAGTAGCAGTAAGTCAACTACTCCAGCGACATGTATTTCGGTACAGAGGGAGTAATATATATAGCTCTGTGCTTGCCTGCTTAATCACACTCTGTTCCATGTGCCTATGACACGTTTTGTCATCTATCTACACATCATCATCGCTATCGTCTTATTCTTGAGTATAATCAAACACTGGACTATTTCCTTTTTGTAGAGAAGGATGGAACAATCAGAAAGCGGCATTTTTTCGTATAACCTGAGGTTGTATCCCGGTAGATATGAGGTAATGGCGTGCTATTCTGCTTTCATTGTCACTGCTTTCTCGTCATCTGATAGTGGGTGTTGGTTTGTGCTTCAGATTAAATTTATTGTTGATGGTGTTTGGAAGAACGACCCGCTGCGCCCTAGCGTGAACAACCATGGGAACGAAAACAACCTTATGATTGTCACTTGACCTGCATCCTTGTAGCAACTGTGTAGATTATAGATTGTCATCAACAATGATTGGTGCCAACTGATTAGATCTCTTCTTTCTTCCGTGTAGCTTATCAGTTTTTCCTGCCTGTCGTTTCTTCATTATTTCTTAGAGAGCCACGCACAACTTCAGGGTGTTGTCTTCGCCCCGCTGAGATGGGAGAAGAATGTAGCTGTTGGTGTGTGTGTTCTTTCCTTCCCCCTCTTTCATCTCCCTGGAGAAGCATAGTGGGGCACTCGAACGCCCCGGTGGCGGTTGGGGGTAGTTCGCCGTCGGTGTCTCAGGTGTGTGTAACAATGTACATATCCCGTGATAGCAAAGTTGTCCATGGTTAGTTTGTCAAGGTGGTGGCGTGCCTGTCAGTGTGCACGCACTGGTTCTTACTATAAGATCCAGGCCGGGAACTCATCCGATAGAACAGAGCATGTCATCGTTGTGATATGCATTGGTTGGGATAGCTATAGCTCGGCAGAAGGTTAGCAGCTCGGGCACAAATACAGAACACAGTGGAAATGTGAGTCTCCATTGGGTCATGACGGTACAGTTGAACCAACCACAAGTACAGTGAAATCGTTCATCTTTCATTTTAACAACTTACAAGAAATTAACCACCCCATTGTTGTTTCTTTCATTTTAACAACTTACCTTTCTTCCTCTCTTTCCCCACCCACTTCATCTATAGAATATAGATTGATTGATTTCGTAACACCAGAACCAAAATATTATAAGAAGACAAAAAGGGAAATAGCTACTGTGGTATAAGACACGTGAGTTAATCACCTGACCTTATTCTACCCCCTTCTTCCCCATTGCATCAAGCATCTCTGGTCCCCTTGAACCTGTACCACCTGGCACAGATCATGAAGTAGACGAAGTTGAAGACGCCGATGCCGGCGATCATCCAGTAGAAGAGGTCGAGCCTGCCCTTGTTGAGGTCCTGCGCCAGCCAGTTCTGGCCGCCCCCCGTGGTCCGGTGCACGATCGTCGTCAGGAAGCCGCTGAGGTAGTTCCCGAGCGCGAGGTTGCAGAAGGCGAGCGCGCCGGCGACGCTCCTCATGTGCTCCGGGATCTCCTTGTAGTAGAACTCGATCTGGCTGATGAGGTTGAAGGCCTCGGAGAGGCCGAGGATCATGAGCTGCGGCACCATCCAGAAGCTGGACATGGCGGAGATGCCGCCGCCGGTCTGCGTGGTGCCGATGTTGGGCTGGTTGAGCGCGATGTCCCTGCGCCGGTCCTCGACGACGGCGGAGATGATCATGGCCACGGTGGAGAGCGCGATCCCGATGCCCTGGCGCTGGAGCAGCGTGAAGCCCTCGTCCTTGCCGGTCACCTTGCGGAGGCGCGGCACGAGGAGGCGGTCGTAGATGGGGATCCAGAGCGTCTGCGCGAGCATGGCGAAGACGGTGAAGGACGCCGCGGGCACGTGGAAGCTGCTGCCGAGGCGGCGGTCGGACTGCAGCGCGGAGAAGACGACGTAGGTGGACTGCTGCACCACGGCCACGTAGTAGATGATCCCGGTGGACCAGACGGGCACGATGCGGATGAGGCATTTCACCTCCTCCACCTGCTGCACGGTGCAGAGCCGCCAGGGGTCGGCCGCGGCGGCGCCGCCGGAGCGCACCTCCTCGGGGGCCGCCACCATGGCGGCCTTGTCGAGGCACCGGAACTGGTCCGTGTGCGCGAGCTTGGTGACGATGGCGGAGGTGTGCGGCGGGTCGAACAGGTCCTGCTTGGGGTCCTTGGCCTGCTTGAGCGAGCGCTTGGCGAAGGCGGCGGCGAAGACCTGCACGATGGTGGTGAAGGGGGAGCCCTCGGGGATGACGCGCACGTAGAGGCGCGTGCCCATGAAGAAGAGCACGCATGCGAGGAACATGAGCGCGGTGGGGATGCCGAGGCCGATGGCCCAGTTGACGTTGCTCTGCACGTAGATGATGACGGTGGCGGAGACGAGCATGGCGGAGGTGAAGGTGAAGTAGTACCAGTTGAAGAAGCTGTTGATCCCGCGCTTGCCCGACTCGGTGTGCGGGTCGAACTGGTCGGCCCCGAACGGCATGCTGCAGGGCCGGATCCCCGCGGAGCCGATCACCAGGAAGGCGAAGGCGATGAAGAGGACGGCGAGCTGGTAGGAGCTGGCCTTCTCGCAGACCTCCCCCACGCCGCAGTCCGCCGGGTGCAGGCTGTCCGCGCCCGCCGTCAGCGTCAGGAAGAACATGCCCTGCGATGGGAGGAGGGAAGAGGAAGCAGCGTTAGTCAGTGCCGGAGTGAAAGGCTTTGTCAAGAAGATTTTGTTAGTTTCCAATGATATAATTTCTTATGACATGCGTCAACATTTTGTTAGTTAAATTTATGATCAGAATTCGAAACAAAATACAATGGGAACCAATAGACCAGGACGGTGGTAGTAACTCGAAGCCGCGTAACGTTCAGAATTCACAGTGCAAGAAGCAGGATTCAATCATGTTATTCCGAGTTTACTGCACTGCACTGCACTGCCAGTGACCGGCAGCAGCCCGACGATTCGCCTCGCCGTGCACACGCCGCCCCGCCCCGCCCCACCCACCTCGCCGCGCGGCCGTGGTCACCACCATGTCCCCGCCCGCGCCCGATCCCCCCAATTGGCTGTCGTTGTCAGTCAGGCAGGCGAAGAAGCTTCTCCTTCCAGCACAGCAGCTCGGCGGAGCCAGCCCAATGGCGATACTATTCTCATGATTGAGACAGGGGTGGGTGGCCACTGGCCAGCGATGGCGGCGGCTGACATTGACGCCGCAACGTGGGCTGCTGGCTGGGTGCTCCTGGACAAGGCACGGATCGCTCTCGTGGCAAGAGAGATGCGCCATTTTTCCACGGGACCGGAGCGGACCGCCGCGTTGGGCCGGTCAATGTTGACGGCGGCTGCCATGCCACTCCGGCCGGCCCGCAGCGAGCGAAGACCGCCGCTCGTGGCCGGGTCGTGCAACTAGCTGGCAGTCACTACCAGGACAAGCAGATAGTACTACATGTCCTCTGCCAAACAAAACAAAAACAAGCTAGTACAAGCTAGCGGTACAAGCTACCAGAAACACGATGAGATCCGTATCGCACGGAGCCAACGACCAGCTTAGCGGTACAAGCTAGTACTCCTACTTACTAGTTGATGGAATGATGGAGGACGACAGGAGCACGAGTGACATTATACCAGTACTACTAGTGCTTCACATTACGAGTCTTGGCAGTAGTAGTGCACTACGGTGTCTTGAACAAACCGTAGTAGCGTGAGCAGATGTGCTGTGGCATGACTCGCTCGAAAACGACAACACTCTTAGCCCGTTAAGTAACGCACGTAGGGCAGTATAATATGGGGTTAGTGGAGCGCAAATCATGAGTTGCACCTCACTCACCTCTGCGCCGCTTCAAAAGCGCGCTTTAATATTCACGCCACCCTTTTCACAAAGCGTCATTATGGTCAGGATTATCCATGCCCCTAAGCATACTCCGTCCTCAACATACCAAGTCAACTGAATAAATGGCCTGAAACTTCAGCTCATGACGCTCCAACCGTTATTATTAGCGCGCGCCACTCGCTCTAGTTGCGAATGGTCACAATGAGGAGGAACTTAGGAGTAACATCACACACTCCAATACAATTTTGCTTATGTGTCACATATTTAATAAAGAGAGAAGTGCTTATGGTAACTAGCTAAGTTATCGGAACATCACACACTTCAAGAAATAATGAGTCTATATATAACCTAATAAATACATTGTTGCATGACACTACATAGATGTTCCTACCTACTGTGACAATGTATTTATTAGGTTATATATAGACTCATTGTTTCTTGGAGTGTGTGATGTTTCGGTAACTTAGCTAGTTACCACAATCACCTCTCTCTTGTCACCAGCCTAATGCTGATCCACATCTACTACTGCGATAAAAGAAAAACAATCGCGCGTCGGCGTTGACGAAGAAGGCGCGCACGCACGCACGTGGTCGATGGTGCCATGTGCAGCGACACACAGTAAAAATTATTACTGACGAGAATCGTTCGAGGCCAACACGAAAGTGCAGGCTCACACAGTGCGCCACGACAGGCCTACCAACTCCCCCGCCGCACCCCACCCACGGATCTACAGTCCCGAAGCACGAGCACGAGCCAACTGAATCTCGAGCCCCGACCAACCCGAGAAAGGGGACCCGCGGGAGCACAGAGCGCCCGGACATCCGCCTCGGTCTCCGGCCCCGATCCCCAATTCGGGAGAGCCGGCCAACGGCGTCCTGCGCTCATCGGCGCCGGCAATTCGCCATGAAAGCGAGCGAGAAGAGGCTACTGCATACTCCTACTACATACGGGGCGCTGGATGGATCTGGTGGGAGTTGGTGGGGAGAGGAGAGGGGAGGGGCTCACGATGAGGGAGGCGACGGAGGCGATGGCGAGCGCGAGGTAGCGGCCGAGGTAGGCGTCGGAGAGGAAGGCGCCGACGATGGGGGCCAGGCTGGTGGTGCCGTTGAGGCCGTTGAGGAGCGTCGCGGCGTCCACGCTCCGCATGTGGAACACCTGCGTCAGGTACACCAGCAGGTTCGCCGACGTGCCCAGCGTCCCCAGCTTCTCGAACGTCTCGTTCCCTGCATGCCACACCACCCCCTAGATCAGCTCGGCTCGGCTCAGCTCAGATCCCGGCCAGCTCCAGACCACGCACGCACGCACGCACGTACCTATGATGAAGGGCATGGCCTTCCAGCCGTGGTACTTGAGGGCCGGCCGGGGCGGGTGCGGGCTGTCGTCGTCGCCGCTGCTGCCGCCGCCGCCGCCGTCCATGCCCTTGCCGGAGTCCATGCTCTTGAGCTTCTGCCCGGCCTCCTCGTCCTCCCGCCCGCCGCCGCCGCGCATTCTCGCTCGCTCCGGCGGCCGCTGCGCTCTCGCTCTCGGCCTCGCCTCTTTCTCCCGGGGCGGGTGAAGGTGGGTGGGTTTCCTTGCTTCGGGTGCCAGCAAGATGAGACTGAGGGGAGTGCTCTGCCTGCTCGCTCCCTTTATACAGAGGGTGGGAGGGAGGGAGGGGACAGTGGTGGTCGCCACGATGCCAGGGTTTTCTCCACTTCCACTCCAACTCTTTCCTGTGCTGCCAGAAGCAGGGGCCCCTGCTGACAGGGAGTATAATAACTCTCTCCTTTGTTATCCGAACAATAGCGTTGTGTTATTTTCAATCACGATAGTACAACAAACACTACAAATAATAAAAATTACATCCAGATCCATAGACCACCTAGCGACGACTACCAGCACTAAAGCGAGCCCAAGGCGTGCCGCTGTCATCCTAATGGTCGGTCCAAGGGGGCCGACTTGAAGACGAAGCCTGATCTTGGCATGCAAGCCAAGAATCCCTCACGGCAAGGTCAGCGAGGGACTCTGTAAACCCTAGGCTCTGGTCCCCTTTATAAGGTGGGGCTAGGGGTACTAGCTCGAGGCATCTGTTCCATTATACACAGACCTCGGTAGTGTTCATCATCCTCTACTTCTAATCCCCTCGCGCGAGGTGCTTCCACATCAATCCAAAACCAAGCAGGAATAGGGTATTACCTCGATCACGAGGGATCGAACCTGGGTAAAAAAAACGAGTGAACTCCCCTCCAGTACTTCCGGCCACGCTCTCCACCCTATCGAGGGCACTGACGGTTTTCTACCTTGTCAGATGGCCTGTAGGGGCATGTGCACGTAGACTTCCTGGTTGCCATCGACAAGATTAGGCCGGCTCTGATACGGGAGTGGTGATAGAGACACGTCGGCGGCTCATTCTGGCGGTAAGAGTGGTCGTTCACTGATCCAGAGACCTCAATGGGCTCCGGTACGGTAGCGGTGATAGCGGCGCGTCGGCAGCTTGTTATGGCGCCAAGCGTTGTCGTTCAGTGGTCCGGAGACCTCAATGTATTTTTTATTATGTTTGATGTGTTTTGTACTTCTTGTGAACTTTTATAATAAATATATATCTTTTAAAGAAAAGATGCGCTTTCCCCTTCCTCCCTTCCGCTCTTCTTTAGTGTCAAGAGAGGCGAAAAGGGGGTGGTTAAGCAAATCCCCTCATCTCACCAACGAGGGCGTTCATCCCTGCCTCCTCAGCTTGCTTCGGCGGTGGGAGAGGTTGGGTTCTTGTTCCTCTTGGTCCGGCTTGTAGATAGGGTAGTTGTAGTCCTCGGCGGCGACGTATTGATGAAGGAATCATCGTCGGTTGGGTTGAATAAATCGGCGGCTCCTCCGCCCCTCAGCTAGTGTCGATGCTACCGGCTTGAGGATGACGTTCTTGTCCTGCCGATCTATGGATCGGGCCGATGCCCGACTCCCTCCTCCATTGGTGGCATCCGCGGTTTGGGGAGTGTGTGTGTGTGTGGGGGGGGGGGTGCTCCTCGGGAATCTCTGGATCATGCGAGTGGTCGGATCCTCTGGCTAGTTGGTGAAGCAGCGTCAGCAACCTTCTAATGTGAGTAACGTCCTCCCCTGCTTCTTCATTGTTGTGTCGGCGAGTCATGCATTAACGGTGTGTGATAATGTGCCACTGTCTATCTAACCATCCGATCGCTGGTTGGTTCTCTGGTTCATTTTAACTTTGGGTCACATCACACGAGTGCCTCGCTTCTTATTGCGATCCTCTGCTTCTATCTTTGGAAGCGATTTTGCGGGTGGGTGTGGGTTTCCTTGCTTCTGGTACCAGCAAGATGAGACTGAGGGGAGTGCTCTGTCTGCTCGCTCTCTTTATACAAAGGGAGGGAGGGAGGGAGGGAACAGTGGTGGTCGTCACGATGCCAAGGTTTTCTCCAGTTCCACTCCAACTCTTTCCTGTGCTGTCAGAAACGAGCCCAACTGACAGGGAGTGTAACTCTCTCCTTTGTTATCCGAACAACAGTGTTGTGTGCCAGCAGTTAGAATTTGCTTGTATATAATGAAACGTTAGAGCATCTACAGCCGGACTTCTCAAATCCGGCCCCTCAAACGCCCACGGACGCGTTCGGACACGTCCACGGGCACTGATCCGGTACCCTCAAATGTTGCACCGCACATCCACATATCACAAATTATGATCCTCAAATCCAGGCAATCCAGGCACGTCGATCATACGATACAAACTGTTTGAATGGCAAAGTTCGAAACAAAACAAAACAAATCATAGTTCAACAAACCGGACATGGGGAAATGAAATCAATGTCCGAGCGTGACGGATGACCTCGGATCACTGGCTCGGCGCCTGCACCGAGCGGAATGCGTCCTGCTCGTCCTGCTCCGCCTGCATCCGGGCTACCTGCTCTGACTGCATCCGGGCCGCCTCCTCCGACTGTATCCGAGCTGCAACTGCCCTCGCTGCCGTACTTCCTACATTCATTGATCTCCATCTTCTTGTCCACAAGCCACTTCTTTGAATGCTCATCATAGATGGTCTCGTCCGCCAACATGATCCTCACATCTCCCGTGTCCCGTGCGAGTTGCAACCTCTTCTTCTCAAGCTCTATGTCGCCAAATGTCTTGGCCTTCTTGAGCTCACATTTGATCGCGCTTGTTGCTTCTCCAACTCGATCTTCTCCCTCTCAATTTCGAGCTTCTTCTCCGCATATTGGATCCATCGTTGTGGCCAACCAAGTTTTGACCAACAAGATGTCCTAAAAATCTTGAGAATGCCAGACCTCTTGTCTTCGGTGTCTTGGTCTTCTTCGTCTTCTCCTTGCTTGGATTGGGATCGAATGTTATCCCAACTTCATGTTGGGGATCGTAGCAGAAATTCAAAATTTTCTACGCATCACCAAGATCAATCTATGGAGTAATCTAGCAACGAGGGGAAGGAGAGTGCATCTACATACCCTTGTAGATCGCTAAGCGGAAGCGTTCAAGTGAACGGGGTTGATGGAGTCGTACTCGTCGTGATCCAAATCACCGATGATCCTAGTGCCGAACGGACGGCACCTCCGCGTTCAACACACGTATAGCCCGGTGACGTCTCCTACGCCTTGATCCAGCAAGGGGAGAAGGAGAGGTTGGGGAAGACTCCATCCAGCAGCTGCACGACGGCGTGGTGGTGGTGGAGGAGCGCGGGACTCCAGCAGGGCTTCACCAAGCACTATGAGAGACGAGGAGGGAGAGGGGTAGGGCTGCGCCAACAGGGGAGGAACTTCATCTGTTGGGCTGCCCCTTTGCCTCCACTATATATAGGGGGAGAGGGAGGGCTGCGCCCCCACCTAGGGTTTCCTCCCTAGGGGTGGCGGCAGCCCTGGATCCCATCTAGGGTGGCGGCCACAAGGGGGAGAGGGGGAGGCGCACCTGAGGTGGGCCTTAGGGCCCATCTGCCCTAGGGTTTGCCCCCCTCCCCTCTTGGAGGCGCCTTGGGCCTTGGTGGGAGGCGCCCCAGCCCACCTAGGGGCTGGTCCCTTCCCACTATTGGCCCATGTAGGCCTCCGGGGCTGGTGGCCCCACCTGGTGGACCCCCGGACCCCTTCGGTGGTCCCGATACACTACCGGCGATGCCCGGAACACTTCCGGTGGCCAAAACCATACTTCCTATATATTAATCTTTACCTCTAGACCATTCCGGAACTCCTCGTGACATCCGGGATCTCATCCGGGACTTCGAACAACATTCGGTAACCGCGTACATACTTTCCCTATAACCCTAGCGTCATCGAACCTTAAGTGTGTAGACCCTACGGGTTCGGGAGTCATGCAGACATGGCCGAGACAACTCTCCGGTCAATAACCAACAGCGGGATCTGGATACCCATGTTGGCTCCCACATGCTCCACGATGATCTCATCGGATGAACCACGATGTCAAGGATTTAATCAATCCTATATACAATTCCCTTTGTCTAGCGGTACGATACTTGCCCGAGATTCGATCGTCGGTATCCCTATACCTTGTTCAATCTCGTTACCGGTAAGTCTCTTTACTCGTTCCGTAACACATCATCCCGTGATCAACTCCTTGGTCACATTGTGCACATTATGATGATGTCCTACCGAGTGGGCCCAGAGATACCTCTCCGTTTACACGGAGTGACAAATCCCAGTCTCGATTCGTGCCAACCCAACAGACACTTTCGGAGATACCTGTAGTGTACCTTTATAGCCACCCAGTTACGTTGTGACGTTTGGCACACCCAAAGCACTCCTACGGTATCTGGGAGTTGCACAATCTCATGGTCTAAGGAAATGATACTTGACATTAGAAAAGCTTTAGCATATGAACTACACGATCTTTGTGCTAGGCTTAGGATTGGGTCTTGTCCATCACATCATTCTCCTAATGATGTGATCCCGTTATCAACGACATCCAATGTCCATGGTCAGGAAACCGTAACCATCTATTGATCAACGAGCTAGTCAACTCGAGGCTTACTAGGGACATGGTGTTGTCTATGTATCCACACATGTATCTGAGTTTCCTATCAATAAAATTCTAGCATGGATAATAAACGATTATCATGAACAATAAAATATAATAATAATAACTAATTTATTATTGCCTCTAGGGCATATATCCAACAGTCTCCCACTTGCACTACAGTCAATAATCTAGTTCACATCGCCATGTGATTAACACTCACAGGTCACATCGCCATGCGACCAACATCCAAGAGTCTACTAGACTCAATGATCACTATGTGATAAACACTCAAAGAGTTCTGGGTTTGATCATGTTATGCTTGTGAGAGAGGTTGTAGTCAACGGGTCTTGCCATATTCAGATCCCTATGTATTTCGCAAAACTTTATATCGTAGATGCTGCTACCACGTTCCACTTGGAGCTATTCCAAATTGTTGCTCCATTATATGTATCCGGTATCTCTACTCAGAGCTATCCGGACAGGTGTTAAGCTTGCATCGACATAACTCTTTACGTCAAACTCTTTATCAC